TTGGGTTTTTTTTTCCAACTCTGAGTACAATCTAAGAACAGCACCCTTTATAAATCATATTGTAAACTCAAACCCATTCCATTTTCCAACGAATTATTACCCATCTATTTAATTATTTAGGAAAGAATGACACAGCAGCATGCTGAGCTCTGAATTAGCAAGAAGGCTTATTTAGGAGCCCTCTGAAAGAACAGACTGGCTGGGGTTTAAAGCAGTAGGCGAGAAGTCTGATGTCCTATCCTGATGCATTAGACAATGGAGAGAAATCTCTTAATAAGGCAGATTCACTGTTCAATGCAAAAACTAAAGTAGAGGAGTGTAAAAATAATTTTGCCTCTTTGAATCTTTGCCACTTTGTTAACTTGGTGTAAAACTTAGTTGGAGGAAACGCTCTGATAATGAGTTCTGTAAACTGAGCGACACGTGGGAAACAGTTTGAGCTTATAATTGTCATCTACCAACTCCTTTTTCACAACAGAATCTTCTCCTCGATGACACTAAGGACTTCAGCACCGTGAGAGATGACATTGGAAAAGAAAAACAAAGGCAGCTTGCCTTAGGAAAAAAGAAAAGGTATCGAGTATTTGCATTTCTTTTTCTTTAAAATACACAAATTTGTTCTTTGCCACTCTTCAGACTAGCTTGGTACTTGGATTCAGGACAGTGCTAGCTGGATGTTCTCAGAGCACACCATTCCAGTAGTCCTGAAGTAAGTGCTCAGGTAATTCCAACTCCTGCCTTTACATGCCATGTTCCTACACCAATCCTCAGGTTTTTTTTTTCTTGCAATGCTTGTCCCTGCCTCTGGAGTTGAAAAATGAACTCCCTGGCTGCACTGGCCAGGCACAGGTTGTAAGTGTGACCATGGAATGTTGTTCTTACCACTCTTATGGAAATTGGGTTCTAATCCAGGCTGCTGTTGCTGTTGGTGCTGCGGCTCAACACTAATACTAGACATCTTAATTTGTTTTTTTATTTACTAGTCGGCAAGCCCAGCGCTTACAGGACCACGTTTTCTCTGAGGAGAAGCTGAATATGAAGCACCGTAAACCAGAAGTGGCTCTTTCTATCAACGTGGGTGTTTTCAGATAGCACCAGGAGGTGATTTTCTGACCAGACCATGTTCCTGATGTACTAACTTGGCGTGAAGTACCTCAGCTGGATCAGCCAGAGGGTCTTTCCCGAAGTGTCTTCAAGAATCACTGAGATGAACTGGATAACAGGATTCAGGATAACTCTTGATTTTCTACTAATCTCACTTGGGGAAGTGCTTTAGCATCCCTTTATCAATATGGTACTTATTCTCAGGCTAGATAAATGCACTTTATCCATGAGAAAACTGATTAATATATTGTATAACCTTTTGGTGACTGTTTTGTAATCACCTTAAATGCTTATTATTTTTTTTTTTCCCCTGTCAGATGCTGATGTCTTGCACCATTATGACAGAGTTTGGGTTTTTTCATGCACTCATAAACATCTCTCTTTTTTTTTTTTTTGAGGGTTTTTTTTTTTCCCATCATCACTGAAGTGACTAGAGATACCAGAATTTGTTTATGTCTGTTTATACATAAACCTAGTAGCTCGAGTCAGATTTCAGGAACGAAGGAAATGTGGAAATCTCTGGCCAAAGTGTACTCAATTGGCTCAAAAAAAGAGCAAGTTCAGAATCTGTCAAGTTCTAAAACCTGAAGATCTTTTGTGATATGAAATAACAATGTGGTAAACTTAAATTTTAAAGTTGCTAGGGCTTTTTTGTTGTCCATAAGCTTCATTAACAAACAAAATGGATGGAAAAAATGGGCAGATCTGATGTTTGGTCTTAAGTGGGTTTTATTTTACTCGGGGGGGGGGCAGGGGGGGAAAGGCTTGTACTTATTTTCAGTACTTTCATTCAGAGGACTTTCCCTTGTTTCTTCTCTTTTTCATTCTAATATTCTCTGTAACATTTGAGACAGAGTTTCTCTTGGTATCATAAAGCTGATTTTCAGCCTCTGTAGCAGGAGGGGATGTGTGCAGCTGATAGCAGCTGAACTCGCTGTCAAAGGTTCTGAAGTAAAATGTTTACTGAGCACTTGTGAGCTTGGATCTCCAGATTGAGAACGTGAGTAACAAACTGATGAGAGACCATATTTTTCCTACCCCTGAGGCTGGGAATCAGGGCTTACTATGAGTTGATGTTTCAGCATCTTTATTGAAACTTTTCTAACACTTCCAATATTTAAACTGTGTTTCCTCCACTGTATGTGACTCTTCCTGACTTAATTTCCAATCAGATTCAGAATGTCCTTTGAGCACAGCTAGTACTGACAAATTAACCCAAACTCTTGATGAAGGGAATTGTTTATAATTAAATTCTAAAGATGTTTTGAATGACAAGGTGAAAATGAAATGGTGGAAGATAACACAGAAGCATTTCTGTGCAGCAGCCATGTGCTGGTGGCATCTAATGTGTTTGTCTTTTACTGCTGGGACCCTGTGCAAATGGATTGCTGTATCCAGTGAAATCTGCTGGTGAAGACACTGCAGAGCCTTGTTGAAATGCACAAATATCCGGAAACTTGTTCTGAAATGAGCAAATTAATTCAAAAATAGCTTTTCAGGATAGCCTGAAGTATCCCTAATTACAACTGTGATAATGAGAGGACAAAATACAAGTCACTTCTAGGTTCTTTACATGTAATCTGTTTTCTGTAGGTGTAGAAGATACTGTAGAAGAAGATGCCAGTACAGCAGACTCCTAAAATTTTGGCTAATATGGGAAGATCTCTCATGTCCCTTTTATAGGTGAACAATATTCTGGTATTTCAGACAGCTTCAAGATAAAAACTGACACTCTCAGCTATCAGAAAAAAACCAATAATTACATGCACCTCGAAGCATATGAATATTATTTATTTCTTTATATATCTTTAAAATTCAGCAAGTCCTTCTGTGCTTTCTTAGGCAAATTAATCCAAGAAGGGAATATTTTTAATTTCCTCACTGTTTCTGTTGTAGGTAAGCTTTATTTGGATCTTGAAACCCTACTTTTATGGATGGGTTTTTCTGACTGAGGTGAGGGCAGCCGATTGCTTTCCCCATCTTATTCTTCATCACCGCCTTCTTCCAGATCCACAAGTGTTCTTGTGAGCCAGGGTTTACAGAAATGATTCCTAAGGTGAGCAGGAAAACAGTTGTCTTTGGAGACAGTTCCATTACATCCCACTTCCTCTGTCACTTCAGTTTCTCCAGTTCCTTGCTGGACACCTGTAGGGAGCTCAACCTTCCCACCTACCTTTAATAACTCGTGAAAACACCAAGTTTGGAGAAATTTAAATATGGATTCCAAGTACTAACATGGAGATTTTTAATATGTGCCTTTGTTAAAGTGTAATGTAGCAGCACCTGCACTGAACCAATCTTGGGTTATTTCCAGTGTTGGCTCAAAATGCGATTTTTTGTTTGTTTTTGTTTTTTTTTTTTTTTTTAATTAAAATTATTGTGGGTCATTCCACAATGAGAGAATTCATTAAAAATAGGAGCAGGGAGAGGGAACACCTTTTTAATACGGAGTCTTTGTGATTCCACAGTTTATGATGGTTATATTCCAAGCCTGGAAGAGCTTTTGTCTTTATTTTTCAAGTGTTCTTCACAAAATAAAAAGTCATTTCTATCTGTCTAATTGATTTGTCTGTGTATATCTCACTGTTACACTGGTTGGGAATGGCATGTGTTGGTTTCTAATGTTGGACAGGGAACAATCATCATTAAGCTTCAATTTTTAAGTCTGTTTTTAGGCTAGCATTCTGATCTCTGTGTGAGGAGTTTTCCCAACCCAGCTGGGGTTGCACTGTGCAAAGACCTGGGTTCACTTGGAGGATTGGGATTTTGTTGCAAGTTCAAAAGATTTTTACCTTGTGGTTTTTTCCTTTTTTTTTTTTTTTTTTAGAAAGGACAGTCTAATATTTATTTCCCATGATTTCAACTCCCAGTTTGTGCACATATCTATTGATCTGGTCTATATTTCAAGGGAACCAGCATCAATCATCTAGAGGACTGTGGCTCTGCACAGAGTAAGAAACATGAATTGCTCATCTTTTATATCTGGTCCTGGTGCAGAGCTTGTGAAAGAGCAAGTGTTCAGTTCTGGGAGTCTGATTATGAGAAAATTGGATGTTTTCATTTTCTTTTCCTCATAACTCATTCCAGTTTGCTGAAGTGATTATGGAGCAGGAGGAAGTGGCCTGTTAGAAAAGTGAAGTCATTCTCGTTCACTTTAATCCTCCCTCGGAGACCACTGAGCAGAGTCTTTGGGTTCTGAAGAGTCTTGCAGGTACAAACCCTGAGAAGGAGCGGCGATGGGGCGGGGTGACCTCTAGGTCACTTAAACTTTGGTGACCTTTAGGGTGAGAATCCCAGACTGGTGGGGTTGGAAGGGACCTCAGGAGATCATCCAGTCCAACCCCCCTGCCAAAGCAGGTTCCCTACAGCAGGTTGCACAGGAAAGTGTCCAGGTGGGTTTGGAACATTTCCAGAGAGGGAGACTCCACACCCTCCCCGGGCAGCCTGTCCCAGGGCTCCAGCACCCTCACAGTGAAGAAGTTTTTCCTTAAGTACTGAAATAACTTCTGTGGTTCGGATAATGAAGCAGAGCAGTGGTGCATTCAAGTCTGCAAATGCCTTGAACTGAAGCTGGTGAGGTTTTGGGGCCAAATTTACACAGTATTTGGCAACTCCACCATCAGACACTGAGGACAACTCTCCTCATACACTTTACTGCTCAGTTCTTCAGACATATTCAGCAATGTTTGGGGTTTTGGGGTTGTTTTTTTCCCCCCAGAAGGCATTTACACTATATTTACTTTATTCATACTTTATAAAAGGCTTTGAGCAGGTTTTACTGCAGAAATAGGGCCAGTATTTCTCATGATTGCTCCCATGAGCAATTATACTCTCCTTTATCTTGTATAAACTTGAGCTGGCTAAAAAGGGATCAGAAAAGCACCCAGTTTACTCACAGGTTGAAATATCTTCTGGTTCATAAGTGTACATCCTGTTCCTGTATTTGCCAGTTAGATCAGCTCGAACTGTCATTGAGGGATCTTGAGGGGGAGGGGAAAAAAAGTACAAGATATGAAAAGTGGGGTGGTGGTGAGTAATTTTGTGAGGAGAAAAGCCTTTTAAAATGGTGTCAATTGGACTTTTCATGGCTGGAAAGGTACATCTTGAAGCACCAGGTTCTCAGCTGCTGTAAGTTAATGAAGGAAGTCTACTTCTGCAACCCATCACGAGTAGATCCTCTACATACAAACCTCGTCTGGTGGCTCAAGATTGTTGCCTGTTGTCCCCTTCGTACCCAGCAGTTTGCTGGTAAGTTTGGCTTTTGTATGGTTGTTGGTCACGGTTGGTGATGGGCCTTTGCTCTGCCCTCTTGACAAAGTGTTTGTCATTCACCTGGGGACAAGCTGGGAGTGAGAGGCTGTATTCAGGTGGTGTGGCACGGTGTGACATAGGCAGGACTAAACTCCTCAAGGATATATATTAGCTGTTAATAGCAGTGACATGCTGTTCATTTCCATTAGTGGAATAAGACTGTTGTGGTCCCTTTTTCTACAAGGTGGTGGTGGGTTTGGTTGCCCAATTAAAGCTCTGATTGCTAAACAGAGACTCTAAAATAAACCCAGTTTGGGTTTTTCAGCTTAAGCTGTTCCTTTGGAAAGTCTGGGTTGTTCCTACAGCTTTAGTGCTCTGAAGAATAAGAGCAATGACTTGGAACAACGTGAATTCAATGGGGACCAGATAGAAAAACCCACTGCCCTGATTATTCCCCTGAGCCCAGAGACTCACCCACAAAGAGGATCCGAGGGACGTAATGGCCATCGGGTGCCATGCTGTCATCGCTGCTGGAATGCTGTCAGGGTCAGAGAGCCTTGTAGTGACAAGAGACATGTCAGACATGGGCTGAATCCACTGAGCTTGCCTCATCTGCTAACAACTAACGATTCTGGTGTGATCAGAGATGGAGTTTCCCCGTTCTCTCCAAATTGTCCCATGTTAGATGCTTGGGAATGAGGCAGAAACCCCAGGCAGGTGACTCAAAAAGCCTGATGATGGGGTATTTTTTCCTTCTTTCCCTTGTATAAGAATATGACCTGTTGTTGGAGAATTCAAAATAGCATTCTCCTACTGATTAAATAGACATATGGAAGTAACTCCCTGCCCCTCTCTCCACGGAGCAACTGTGTTGGTGTTTTGCAAACCCTGTTGTATATCCCCAGAGCAAGTGGAAGATAAAAAGAGAATTTTAAATACAACTTCAAAGCTGTGCAAAGTGAATCTTATTTCAAAGTGAATCTTATTTTAATATGGCTTCGTTCAGTCCCCAGTAAACATTTTGATTTAAGATTTTAAAATTCAGACTTACCACCAGATTGAGCATGATGAAGTCCTCCTGGGCCATCTGCTGGATCTCTGGACTTAAGGATTTTCCTTAAATCTAAAAGAAAGAAAAATACATTATTTTGCTGGAAAAAAAAAATCTAGATCACTGCTTTTCATGGTTTTACATCATCTTATATTGATTCAAAATATCCCCAGTAAAGGACCAGCACTACTTTCTGATATGCACGTGGCACACAAAGTTTGGAGAACGTGGTTCTCGTAAAGTAAAATGCAAAAGACCTTGAGAAACTGAAATGCTGGTGTATATTGATATTTCCTTCCCAGTGGCTGAACAGATCATGAATGCATACAGCTTGGTTTGATTTGGCTGTCTGAGTGTAGGAGTCTTCTGCACAGTTTATGCTGTATGCATTTGGGGGAAACAAATAGGAGAAGTTTCCTAAGAAATAGTGGAGCCAGATTTCCCTGACCAACCTCGCTTTGTTCTCGATAACCTCGGAGGTTATCAAGTGACAGTGAGTGGTCTGACACATTTTTGGGCAAGAAGCCTCGTAAGAGTAAGAGGAAAGTGTATAAAGCAGACAGGGAGCAGATGCTCTTGCAGGCCAGAAGATGATTTGAGCTTTCCAGTGCTGTCAACTATTGCACTTCTTACAAGGTTCTTGTCTGCAGCTGAAAACCCACTGCTAAAGCCATGTTGCAGTTGCTGTGACTCCATGAATATGAGGCTAGAAGGATCATTTCCTCGGTGTCTGACTCTGTTTGCAGGATATCCGTAACTTCAAAGCCACGGTATAAAACACCACAACGGAGGCAGTGCGATGCTGAACCTCACTGGCCTGACACAGTCTACTTTCAGGGCTTCTTTCTAGGGGAATTCAGCTTCCCCAGGCTTTAGTCACACAAGCTGATGATTTCCGTGCTTGCTGGGGCCCAGGACTGGAGTTGGGAGTAGGCAGGAGAGAGAATTGGCAGGAGATGAGGGATGGGGAAGAAGACAGAGAAGGAAAGCTTGGCGTCTACCTGCCTGTTTTGTAGCCACGTGTCTCTGCCAGGGAAGTTCTGACCCAGAGCACGTTACTGTCCAGAAAAACTTTACCACTGTTTTGTTTTTTTATTTTATCCTCAGGTCTTCTCAAGGGTCCCCAGTAGATTTATTCTCTCTCCACCTTTCCCTGCACGTGCTGGAAAAGCTTCACACTAAGTGCTCAAATGTTTTGTAAGGAGATATCTAGGAGATTTGGGTCTCCCAGGTGGTTTGGAAGGGTTTGCTTTGCTCACCTGGACTGTAAGGACATTCTTCCAAGTGGTGAATAACCATCAGTGGCTTCTTGCTGAAATGACAATTGCAGGAGAGGAAGAGTGAGGAGGCAATTCAGACCTTTGACAGACTGCGCTTGCAGAGAGTTAAGGTGCCAAGTTGCTCCAGGGATGTATTTAGTTTGGGAAGAGCAGAGGGGTGTATCGCTGAGAAGGTGACACTGTGAGGATGTTTGCTCATCTCCCAAAGACGAGCTCTCACCAAAATCTTATCATAGAA